ACTCCCATGCAGACATTGACAGGAGAGAGCTACCAGAGCTTCTTCAGGGGCTGATGTTATTCCAGATTCCCTCTGAGACCCAGGCTCTCTTGACTGAGCTCACTGTGGGAGGGACAAGGACAGGTTCAGGTGGAAAGACATGGACAGGGTGGAAATGGAGCGCCTCAGAGAGATGGAGAGCAAAGACTAAAGAGGAACCGCACTGTAAATGTGTTGGAGTTCAGAAAACTTTGAGACAAAGCCTTTGAAACTTCCATAAATCTCTTTTTACTGATCAGTATTGTTGCTCTGTGCATATGAAGAACATCAACATTGTGGATGACTTAAACAGAGGACACCATTTAGTGCTGGCTAACAATAATCTATATTGTTGTTCTTGTGAAGAAATGCCACTAACACCAAATCACTAACACCAACAATATGTTAGTCTGTCTCTCAATACTTTCCACCTTCACTTCCCTGTCTGTCTCTGCAAACCTGTTTATTTTTACTGAAGATGTTATACGTTATATGTTTACTGAATGTTAAGATGAATCATTTCCTAAAACCCACAGGGTTTTTGATGTGCCAGTGAACATCTCAGGCCGCAGAACAGGCCTATGTTGAGTGGTATGAAGGACAAGTACAACAGTGTCAGTGTGTGTCTAATGTTGACAACAACAATAACGGTGGTCTATAGCACAGAAGAATAAGATATATCAAGCTTTGGCTACACAGGAAAATCTTGTTAATGATGAATTCATTGTTTTCTTTGGTCTGTTCGTGGGATGATCTGTTGACCATGAGAAAGATTCTGAATGTGACCAGACCAGACTTATCCAACACGTTCAACTCACAATGCGATAGACTAATTATATCCATGTGCATGTCCATGTCTATAAATAAATGTGCTTATTTTTGTACATGGCGGATCTCGGATTGCGATTGGCCAGCTGTCAGTGAAGGGCGGTGCATCCTATTGGTGCAATCGAGCGTCAGTTTAAGGACATGTAGGAGTGCTTGATACACTTTATGATTACATTCCGGTGCGGCGGTGCTATGAGGGTGCTCCCTGCTCCGCCCGCTCGGGATGTATTTGTACTTATAATCAAACACAAAGGAGTCAAGTGCGTCTCGGTCGTTCTCGCTGCATTTAAACTTTACCAAAGACAGTAGAGGAGGTAAGGGAAACCATTAAATCTTTTGTTTTAAGGTCAATTTAAATGTTTGGTGTGTTTTACGCTCTACGTTTACGCACATATCCTCTGCCTCTGTTGGAGAAACTGTTAGAAGTTTAATTTTATCAAACTGTCACTAATGAAACAATGTGCCACACAGTAAACCAGAAGTATAAAGTTGCGAAATGAAAATACTAACCCAGTGTGTCTGAAAATGTGACTTAAGTACAGTAGTTGAGAAAATGTACTTAATACTTTCCCTAGTGCCGCAAACAGTCAGACCCCTCCCCAAATCTCCTCTGAATTCCAAAATAATCAGCGACTGTTTATACATGATGGGATATAAACTAAGCTATATTTTTAGTTTGCCTCAAAGGTGAAACTTTGTTTTAGCCTTCATATAGGTTATTTTGGCAGTAATCTCTTCCTAGTTCTTATTAATCCCATCTTGCAAGCAACATTTAACAAACCTGGATGTGATATTTTAGAGGAGATAAACAACTCTATTTTGTGGGCCTGATGGCACAGATGGGAATGAGGACACTTCACAGGAACCTGCTGCAGGCTGCTTGGCTGTGTTTGTTGGCTGTTCGGGTGAACAGCTGTCCAGATGTCTGCAATAAATGTTCAGGGCCCAAAAATGACCAGTGTGAGGAATGCAAAGCAGGATGGACTCTCCATAACAACACCTGTGTAGGTACTGTGTACAGAGCTTTGTGTGTGAGTCCTGAAATCATCATATACATGTGTGGCATGAGACAAACAGATGAATGACTACATTTATATTTGGATGTTTGTTTTAGACATTGATGAGTGTGGCACCGAGCTGGGTATCTGCCCTGTGAACAGCTACTGCTTCAATACAAGGGGTTCTTTTGAGTGCAGAGGTAAGTGGTTTTGTACTAAAAGAAGTAAAAGAGACAATATTTAGGCTGCTTCTATAGAAATATAAACTGAATAAAAGTGAATGAGTAAATAAACCTAAAAGCGTCAGAAAATAATAAAAAATGGAGGGGTGACTTCAAATCTAAAGATATTTAATTTACACTGATATTAAAGAGAGAGAAGCAACACATCTCTTACATTTGGGAAGCTTAAAGCAGCAATTGAGTAGTAAATAAATTGCAGTTAACAGTTAATCAGGTGTCAAAACGTAATAATACCATCTTCAATTTACATTATAATTTCCCTCAAATTACAGTGTAATTTCGTCAGTATGAATCAGTACATAGCCTCCTGATTACTCTCTCTCCCCGTAGTCTGGTTACTGCATATGAGTAACAGTAAAAGCCTGTAAGCATTTAAGAAAGCAATCAGTACTGATTCAGGAAAATGGTGCTTTGGGGCACTCTGGTGGCAATGTGTGGTGGACGTTAATGGTGGTTAAGAGTTTTGAGAGCTCTATACAGTGAAACAGGTATATGTTTTTTTCCAGAATCACTGTTGGACCTGCCCAGTAGCTACAGTTTTGTACTGAGCCACTGTCTGATTTAATCTGACTGTGTCATATGGAATTTTATATACAGAATTTACAGCAATTGAGACCACAGTCCACTCTGTAAATGAAGAAATTAAATGGTCACTCTTTTCTCAGACTGTGACCCGGCCTGTGTGGGCTGTATGGGTAGCGGACCAGCTCGCTGCAGGAAATGTGCCTCTGGGTACACACTGACAGGCTCCAAGTGTTTGGGTAACTGCACAAAAGAGAATTATTGTTACTTCATTGGCATGCATTCATTGTGTACCTCTGACGAGCAGCTCTAATGTATAAGACTGAGATGAGATTATATCATGTGCCTCTCTTTCTTTTGCTCAGACGTGGATGAATGTAGTGACAGGGTGCTTGCCTGTCACGGTCTGGATGAGATTTGTGTCAACACGGATGGCTCCTTCCGCTGTGACTGTGCCGAAGGGTTCATCCGCACGGACAGCGTTTGTGTGAAGAAGAAGCAGCCTAGTGAGTCTCATCACTCACACAGAAGGATGTTTGCACCCACATTCAAGTAGACACCTAACCTCAATGCAGCCTCTCACATGTCCGTCTCCCTGTGCAGGTGTTCAGGAGAAAGGTCTGTTTGAGGATATCAAGGATGACGAGGTGGAGGTGCTGCAGCAGATGTTCTTTGGGGTGGTGCTTTGTGCTCTGGCCACACTGGCTGCCAAAGGAGATTTGGTGTTCACATCTCTATTCATGGGAGCGGTGGCAGCCATGGCAGGGTACTGGCTTTCTGACAAGGGAGACCGTTTGTTAGACAGCTTCCTGAAGGGACGTTAAAGCTCAAAACCACTTGTCATGTGGCAGATGCACAAATGCATGTACCACTGCTCACCAAGGCCTTATAGAATTACTGTTCAGACAAAGCAGGTCACATGTATTATGGACATTATAAGTCATTGATATGAAAATAGTTTTATGCTCTGAAAGTTGTTGTTATTATATTATTGCCACACTTTTAATATCTACAAAATAAATGATCATGGCAACCTTTTAACAACCACTGAAGCACCATGAAATATTGTTTTATAATAAAACAAAGTTTTGTTACTATGTTTTAAGACAGACTTTATAAAATAGTTAGTGCTAAATGTCAGTGTACAAAGAGTAAATCGACCTACAATAAAAAAAAAAGCCCCTTCTTTCATATTTGAAGTCTTCTTGACACCCAGAGTAAGTGACAAATTAAGTGACAGTTTTAAAAGCTTGTTTCTTCATTTTTTTTATATGGTTGACAAAGGACAATATTTATTTTATTATCAGAATTCTTTCACTACAGTTTTTAGACATCAAACTTTAATATCACAGAGTTGGGCAAAAGCCTGTAGTCAATGTTGAGTGTGCAAGTTTATTCCTCACCTTGTAAATTATAGTCTAAGCTTAATTCAAGGTCCTTTTCCTCTTAAGGCCCTTATATATATATATATATATATATACATATTTCATTATATCCATCAGTGGGTGGAGTTTGCTTTGTTGTCGTGACAGCTGAGCAAACTCCAGTCATTGATGAAGACTTTGAGATGCAGTTGAAAGGGGTTTGTGATACTGATGTCTTGACAAATGCCTGAAAGATGAAAGAAAAAGACTTCCAACGTATTCCAGCTGGAACATTTCCCTGTACTGAGCTGAAAGTGAGTCATCTTGTGCTTTTTTATTATTTTTAAGCAGCTACCTTACTCTTGTGTCTGCAGCCACAAACATACAGTGTAACCAATTGTAGATGTATGGAAGAAGAATTTACAGCTTCATTGAATTTAAACATCTATGTGTACATAAACAATGTATTGGATTTGCCTCTTATAGCCTACTGTATCAGTAATACTGTATTTGCACTCTCTAAATATAAAGCTGCAACATGTACAATGTAGCATTTAGTAACATTTTGAATGCCCCCTTTCTCCACGTGCACATCTATATGTATTAAAACAATTAAATAAATATTTCCAATGTTAACATTTTTCATAATTTTGAAGGGTGATTCTGTTGATATCTGTTAAGTACTATAGCATTACTGAATGTTAAAAAAACGTGACGATTGATGATTTCTTGAATGTATATATGAATATATAATATGTATATGAATGAATGAATTGTACACACACAAAGTGGAACTTAGGTAATATAGAGTCATTAGATAAATTACCCAGTTAGCCACACTATTGCTAGTTTGTTATTCAGTACAGGACTAGATTATATAGTAAATTATTACTTATTTGCAGTATACAACAGTATCATACCATGCATCTACATCATATTAGTACTAGAATATACTGGAATGAACTATTAACTGATTTTAACTTTGAGTAGAAAATTACAAACAGAGACAGAAAGAAAGTCACCTTTATTTGATGGATATAAACAAGCTGGCCAACACTCAATAGTAATATTCTGATACAGCACATACAATAGCAAACTGGGGCACTGAGGACAGCCTCCTAGGTTTAAAAAACAAAAAACAGTACAGAGTATCCATGCTTCATTCAAAACTTTGCCTCAATCTCGCTTTTTTTTTCTCTTGGGTCTTCCTCTGATAAAGTGTTTTTTTTAAATAGATTTTTCTCTTGTGCAATCATAACACACACATACAGACACGCAAACACACCCATACCCATAAAAGCAGCTATGCATACACGCACACACAGGCACACACGCACGTCTCTCTTTTGTGAATTACGTTTACACAAGCAACCCCAAAAACATGCTGCACTCTCACAAAACTGCACAGGCTGTCTACTAATGGGACACAGTAAGTGAGACACACGTCACTCTCAAACACAACATCACACCGTCACAATGCATGATGCAGATGCAATTAATGAGTGAGGAATGATGCTTCATGGGAGATTAGCTCACGTTCACACAAGTAATCATTCAGCATGCTGGACACTCACATTGAACTTGTTCCTAGGTTTTTACTGTACAGCTCAAAACATTTACTTATACAAATAGTACAGTCTCAAACTGGCATATTCAATAAGCTGAAACAATAGAAAAAATAAAGCTAACTTAAATAAAAAAATGAATAATAAAAAAGTAAACACAATATTTGTTCTGTCAAACAAAAATGTTTCTGGCATTGGTCACAGTGATTTGTTTAATCCAAAGTTTTCAGCAAAATACAATAAAAGAAAAACAACCTGTATACAACAATAAAGTGAAAATGTATGTTAGGCTTTTCATACTTTTTTTTGAAGGCCTTTGAAAATTACTGGTGAATCTACAGGCCTTTCAACTCAAGTCTTTCTATACGGCTGCTTCTAGGCACAGATGCAGACTTGACTTTTTGACTCCACCTCACGGTGTGTGCGATGTCAGCCATTCACAACCAGGATTAGTCTTAAGTCTAAGCCCAGGAAACCAGCCTCAGCCTCTAAGCCTCTGTGTCTTCTAAACCTTTTTGACACAACGGTTGAGAAATCGCTCTGCATAGAGAACAGGAGATCATCCTTACATCATCACTTTCAGTTGGCACATTATGTAAAAATCAGCATGCATGGGCACAATTGAAATGTTTCATGTTTTCTACCATGTTAATTATATATGGTATTTCATGGTAGGAGAACCCCCCTACTTCAAGTATTCAGTAGATAAGGACCTGAAAATGGAGGATTCGTACTCCGCCCCCCTGATGGTGAAGTGAGAGGATTTTTAGCTCCTCTGTCTGTTTGCATTGTCTTCCCTTAAAAAAAATAAATAAATAAATAAAATCCAAATCAGGACCTTTCTTGTAACATTTGTAAACACAAACACCAACGTTTCACTCAATCTGTTGATTCTTGGTCAGCGGCAGGAGCTGCGAAGGTTCATGTGTGAAGCAGACACATAAAAGACGATGCGTGAATCACCTCGGTTTGTGGAGGATGGGGGGATGAAAAGACATTTATATACAACAATCAACACTTGGCCATACAAGGGAGACACACAGGCACCATGAGGGGAGGGAGAGGAAGTGGGGATAGTAACAGTCTAATTCAACTTTCCACTATACTGTAACGATGTGTGTTGGTTTTTCTACTTAATCAGCTGTCACGGTCACATATGTCACCACTTCTGTTCACAAGACAACGACGACAACAAACACGTGAAAGAAATGCATCCCGACAGAGTCACTCAAACCTCCACTTGGATGTTAATAGTGATAGTCCTCACTCACAAGTGCAAGTTACTGACTGCTGAGTGCAGCAGACATAATCTCGTTGCTACTTATGTGAGCTGCAAAATTCAAGACAAGTCTTTGTTTTTTTGTTCCAAGTTGTCACCACAAGCCAAGTGGTCTTCAACTGAATGTTTTCACATTAAGTAAGGAATGTAATAATGTCATCTTTTCTAGACTTCTAGATAGATTTGGATACACGTCTCTATTTCCCATAAACTAAAGCTCTTTTTTCTGGGCTGTCCTGTGTTTTCAGACAGGGAATGTTACTTGCTGCTGAGGGGTTTTCTCGCAATGTACAAATCAGAGGAAAATCACACCACTCAACACTCTAAATAAGACATCTCTCTGACCTCCAGCCAGTTAGAAAAATAACCATGAAGAAAAAACATATATTATCTTGTCAGTTTGAAACGATTTTCTGACCACGTATAGACACACTCTATAGATTTCTCTCTATATGTATAATATATGCATATCTATCATATATGTGTACAGTTTTTACGAGGCACAGGCCATCTTGTTGAGAAGGAGAAAACAAGTCACTATGTTTGGGGAGGTCACACAGGCTACTGCTGGAAGAGGAGAATTACAAGGGAGAGGGGAGCAGGAGCATACTGTAGGTCGGAGACTGGGGTGTCAGTGGTACAAATAGACCTGCAGGGAAAACATCTACTGAACATTGCGTCCACTTCATAGTCTATTATGGTATTTATAGTAGCAGTATTCATTCAGGTAAATCACCTCTGTGTGGGTCGTAAAGTGATTGTGGCTAACAAAGCCCCCAAGGTCAAATCGTATGTACAAAGCAGCCTTTTACAGCTGTTTATGAAGCCCATAGTGGGATCAAGTCCCTCTATTGTAAAAGGACTAAAAGATGCTCTTGACCAGGTCTTCTGACACCATGTAGTTTGAGCACCAGCAGAAGCACCATTAGTAAAAATTCCTGCAACACAGAGGTGCATAGGTGCATAGTCTCAGAACCTCAAAATAATCTGACTGATGAATATTTTCTGACCACTCTCTTGGCCGCTTTGATTGGATGGTTAATTACACTTTGATAAATTTCAGTAAGGATGGGGAAATAAAAATTCATTCACTCTACGTTGACACCTGCATAGATTGATTATTTTTTTGATTACTTAAAATGAGGTAACATGAAGAGAAACATCGATGGCAGCCACAGCCTTAAGGCTAAAACACGCCCAAGAACTGGAGGGCCCTGCTCATGCAGCGAAGGAAACCCCCGATGCTGCAGGCAAGGCTAAAGGCGTACTATCGGTAAACTCTAAGCTCTTCCTTTTGCAAAAAAATAAATAAATAGATTTACTGAAATCTGGTGTGTGGAACATGCAAGTGAAGGGCCACTACATCACTTTTAGAAATGCTGAACACAAGCTTCTCTAAAAATGAGTGGTGGGTGGGGTATGTATAAAGGTAAAAAAAGAGGTCACTGTGTGCCACAAAGGGTAAAATAGCTCATTGACACAATCAGATGATTAAAACAACAGAAGAGACTCGCACTGAGTCACATTGAGGATAATGACAGCCAGGTAGAGGGGTCAGATGTCACCAGGTGGGTCAGCAGGGCAGTGAGGATCAGGAAACCATGACAGAGTCCGGTAGGGGAGCCAACCAGAGCCAGAGGAGACAGTCAGGCAGGTGAAGCAGACAGCAAGACAACCATGATCTTGAATCAATCAAAGGAAGAAGCATGGAGAACAAATACTGGGCTGGCAGACAGTCATGAGATCTCTGCTGGGAGAATCAAGAGGGCGTTGTTGGCCTGAAGAGGTGCAGCGTCCCGACAGGTGACAGACAGGTGAGGTGACCTCTGGTGAAGGGCTGCCATGTTGATCACATGACCTGTCCAAGCAAAGAATCTGACAACGAGCACATCTGTCTCTCCATGGGCAACAACATCTGTCTCTTTCCTTCCAGTTCAGTCGCGTATCTGTGATCCTTTATGGAGGAAGTTGATGACATCTGCTCCTGTTCACACAAAGAAGAGGTCCCAGGTCACCTTGAGTAGAAAATGGAGAAGAACATAGTGTAATTTGGAGTTTGATCTTTTGTTTTTAATCACTGAATACAGTTTGTGTGCTATCATACATTAAGTATGTGTGAACAGTGTGAAATCACCTGCTCAGATATCAGTCTCCCTGCATGACCTGCACACCTGAGTGCTCCCTCCTCTTCCCCGGAAAATAAACAAATGTCCCATTGCTGAGTGTCGATTGAGTGGAGGTAAGAAATGTTTGGTCGGGTAGTGTTTCAACATCATGGCATGGCTGTGCTCCTCCAGTAGTGACTTAATCATCTGAATGTGAGAAATAACGAAATACAAAAACCCAGACGTCATGTAGCTGTTTTGTAATAAAATACTGCAGACAATGCAGTCAGAGAGGAAATTGAGAAACATAAAGTTGGAAATTTGAAATATATCTCACCCCTCAAAACAACATTAGAGCTTTGGTTGTCACAGCAAGGATTATGCCCAAATGCCCTCGTCGTCATCCTGTTTTTGGTAGCGATATACATGAAGGGAAGAAAATAAGACAGAAACTGGAGTAACTGCTGATCAAGAAACACCACTGAAATAGAAGGCAGTGTCATAAGAAAAAAAAGCACGTTTAAAAGTAAGAGTAAGCATCAGAGAATTTGTTAATCTGCTAAGTAGTTACAGTATTGCGTTTGGCAAAGGTTTTACAGGGCTATACTTTAAATTGAGTGGATTTGCATCTTCACGAGAAAGGTTTTTCCCTAAGTGAGTACGGTGGCAACTTGGCACCTTTTACCTTTTATGATTTGTTTCTCAACATAAAAATTGAAGAAATAAGCAAAAAACATTTAAATTACAATATTAGAAACCCTGTTAAATGAGAAGTCACAGAAGGCCTTTGTCCTAGTAATACAACACGCAATCACTAGAGTTTTACACAGCATTCAGAGCCGAAGCTAGCTTTTTGCTTTTACTATTGTTATCTTCTGTACATGGCAAAACACATTACTGTGCTATAATTGTACAGTGGCTGGTTTAACTATATTTCAGTTGCAAGCTGTAGATGTTAATGGTGTTCAAGTGATCGGTGACACCAATGACATGGGAGACATCTGACCTGGTCCGGGGCGGGGCGGTGACCACCATGTGGGGGTCCTCGGGCTGGTCCTCCACGATGATGGGGTGACGGGTGACGTGGATGCTGGGTGTGGTGCGGGTGCTGCGGGTGCTGTGGATGCTGAGGGTGTTGAGGATGCTGGGGATGTGGATGTTGAGGGTGGGGTCCTTGTTGGGGAGGGCCGTGCGGGTGCTGAGGGTGAGGGTGCTGCGGAGGGGGATGTCCGTGTGGGTGCTGTGGAGGATGCTGTGGGTGCTGTTGGTGAGGGTGTTGGGGCTGTTGGGGGCGTGGGTGCTGTTGGTGTTGGGGAGCTGGCTGGGGGTGCTGCTGGGGGTGCTGCTGGGTGCTGCTGCGGGTGCTGTGGGTGAGGAGGGTGAGGGTACTGGGGTTGTGGCTGCTGTGGGTGTGGGTGCTGTGGGGGCACCTGTGGGTGCTGCGGGTGCTGTGGGTGCTGTGGATGCTGCGGATGCAGGGCGTGTGGATATGGAGTCTGCTGGGTGTGAGGAGCGTGAGGGTACTGGGGCTGGGACTGAGGCTGAGCGTGCGGGGGCTGAGGCTGGGGGTGGTGAGGACCGTGTGGATGATATTGCTCGTCTTCATAGTTGTCGGCTATCAGCTTCATTCTGCTTTGTGTCTGCAGAGAAAGGCAACTGGTTAGTGCATGATGAACTGCGGCTGTTAACAAGAGTATTATTCCCTTACGATGAGCATTATGACCGGACAAAGCACATATTTTCAGCATATGTGGGTGGACATAAAAACAGGAACACCTTACAGTGTAATACAATCCAGCACAATAACCATGCAACCAACACTTATACATGTCCTTTATTTCAGACTTCACACTGTGTCAGCTGATTCATCTCTGGAGTCATTTTTAAGGTCATTGTGATTTTGTCAATCAAAAGTTCAAAATGTTTGGAAGTACGCTCATTCGCTGTCTTACCAAGTTAGATAAGAGGATTGATTTGTACTCTAAATTTGAAGTCATGATTAGTTTTGCTTAGCATAAAAAACGTCCCAGCACCTTTTAAAGTTCACTAACATTTATATTCGTACAAAAACTGTAAAAATAACAGTTTTTGGTTAAGGGGAGTTACGCACTATTTCTGGGCTGGGTTCAGTGACTTCCTGGAGGTTCCACTGTTTGCACGGGGACTCCAGTTATTCCAGCCATGCTAAGATAACTATATCCTGGCTTTATCTTAATATTTTTTTTTTACTTCATATTTATGCAATTCTGTCACTGCCTAAATTCCTGGTAACTCATACCAGAGCTACAGACCTGGAGAATTTGTTGAACTCAAGTAAAAAAAATGACTTGAGACTTCACTTGGACTTGACTGCTGTAAGACTTTACTTACTTGAGACTTGACTCCTTGAAGACCTGACATGACTTGAGGCTTGAAAGCAAAAACATTTAAGACTCAAGTTTTGACCTGGTAAACACACCTTGAATATTCACATTATCAGGCCTATGCATTGAATGGATTGACCTCAGCTATGCAAATGAACACAGCTTTGATAGAAAATATCAAAGCTGTAATGAAATGTCATGTTAACGGCCAGAAAAGAGTTGCAACTGAATTGCAATTTGCTAATGAAAACTTGGACCTGAGTGGAATGACTCGCCCAAAAAATACATAAAAATAACTCAAATACGCGAAATGAGACGCCGCATTTTGAATAAACTAGCAAAGAGGATCAGTGGCCATGTGTGTGTACCACTCCCTGTAGATGAAATGGAAGAAATGGCTAGTTGCCTTGTGCAGTTTTATTATTCATTTTGATTAATGTTGCCTTGGCAACCAGCTACAGTGCAGACAGAATTTTCCTTGACATTGTGCTGCAGTACTAACATGTTGTTTGAGCTGGTGCATCAGTTTGTCCCGATCCCTCTTGAGGGCCAGCACCTCCTCCTGGGTCTTCTTTTTATTGGAGGCAGACAGTTCCAGCAGTGCAATATTAGCATCTTTCTCACTGATGGCTGCCAGCAGAGCTTGTTGCCTGAAGAAGAAAAACAACATTATAGCATCAGCACTTATATTCTATAAAAAAAGAAAGAACATTAAATGAATGGTGTATAGAAGAGCCATTCCATGAAGCGCTTTTAACTAGAACAATGTCAATTGAACATCGTCAATCGAATCATCGTCAAGTCAGTCAAAATCTGATCGTTTTGTTCTCCTCTAAAGGATGGCATAAAATTAGTTATACAATTATTTGTCATGCTCACTTCTTACTGTAATGGAATAGCTCCATATTTTAGGAAATATACGTATTTGCATAGTTCAATGAGAAGATTGATTCCAATCTCATATCTGTCTGTTAAATACGAAGCTACAGCCAGCAGTCAGTTAGCTTAGCTTAGCATAAAGACTAGATACAGTGGGAAGCAGCTGGTTTGTTTAATCTATATAACTATAAGTGTAAAAAAGACAAGTTGTGGCTTTATGGGGAGTTGTGTTTATGTTTATGTGCAGGTCTATTTCTCGGCCAGTCACAGTAACTTCCAAGAGTTTCATTACATTTGTACAAAATATCCTCTGAGAATAGACTGATCAGATAAATAACGAACCAATAAGTAAATGAATCCTGAAGTGTGTGGATAGTTTGTCTGACTACGTTTCAAAACAAGAAATGACGCCTTAGCCAGAAACACATAAAAAAAAAGACACTGAGGGCTGTCTTTGTGAGGCTGACATCAAATGTCACGGTGGCACTAACTTCATCTCCAGGATCTCCTCCAGCTGCTTCCTGCGCTCTTGTCTCATGTTTGTGAGGTGTGTGTCCCTCTCCTGCAGTGACTGCTGTGTCGAGGAGAGACGCTGCTTGGTTGAATCCAGCTCCTGTCTTGTCCGTTCCAGCGTGTTCATCAGCTCTTCCAGCTGATTGTATACATTGTATAGAAACACACGCCAAATGTATAAATAAGACACACAGACACATGTTTAATTAGTTCCGTATTATATCTATTATATCGTCACTTGTAAATACACTCTAAAATGAATGTAGTCTAATGTAACAGTCCTACAATAAATCCTACATGAAGGTTATAATGTTCACATTTTGATGAAACTTAACTGTATGATTTGGAGGATGTTGTTTCTGTATTAGAATACACAGAGATGTGTTTCTGTTATGTAGCCTACCCTCATTGATATAAATTGGGTGGACAAAATAACAGAGACACTTGTTAATGCAACACAATAGATGCACATAACTAACTGGCAACTGAGTGTATTTATCAAGAGTAAATCCGCACCTTTAAGTGGTGGCCACTGTCCATGGAACCGTCCTTACGAGAGTCTTGTCCTAAGCCTTTCTTTTCCCCTTGTGGTCCCAGTTTGATGTTCGGACCCTTCTTAGTCTGGTCTTTGCCTCCTTGTCTGTAAAGTCACATAAATGTAAGACCTTTTCCACACCAATAATTTTTCTGAATCCTATTCTGTAGTTACTGTACCATTTATTTATTAGGAAATGCAAAATACATTGTTAGTAATAGTGTTATATAAAAAGTAGGTAGATGTGTGAGTAGGGTACCATATATACCCATATATCAAACAAAAAACATGAAACACAAACAAGTAGAACAAGTCAGGGGCATTTTGAATGAATCTTGATTCAAAATGGTACCAATCATGAGACTGCAACAAGACATGAGCATCACAGATGAACTGATAGTTTCATGTTAACATGACACTGTTGAGATGACTCACAGATTAAAGCACCAGAGTTAGGATGGATATAGGTAGAGATGGGTGCGCAATGGAGGGGGGGCATTACCTACCTGGGAGCTAGACTGCAGATGGGGAAAGGAAAAGATAGAAGAGAAAGGGATGGCACGACAAGTAGAGGAGACATTGGAAGCAGGAGACGAGAGCACACAAAGGAAAAGTTAAAAAAAAAAAAGAGACATTAGAACCAGAACATAAAGAAACAACCACAAGAAAAAATATAGAGGACCCAGAGGAGATTACAGTGTGTTCATTGTCAAACAACATGGGAGATTAGAAAGGCGCCTGTGACAGCCGCTGCTCTGCAGCCTGACACAGCTAATGCAGGATGCACCTTCTCTGATAACATGGAACCATGTGCATCTGCTGCCAAGCCTGGGAGTGGCAGACATGCAGTCAGACAGGCAAAAAAATCAGCCGGGCAAAAGAAGAGGGGAGGAGGATAGGTCTGAGTGCCGAGCAAAAGGAGGGAAAGCCAACAGTGGTTTGACCAGAGAAGGAGTGACATAGTAAGAGAATCAGTTATGGATGCAGGGTTGTTCAGACAGAAGACACCCGACTGAATTGACACACTTCGGGACCGAGGGTTCAGTCCAGACCCTACCTACTACAGCACCTCACTTACTGAGCGCGTGTAGACCTGGAGCACAGCAGCTCTATTCATGCAGGCCACTAGGCTGATCATTTCCCTTAGTACCTGGTAGATCAAGCTAGGCAGGGCGGGGTGGGGCAGGTTAGGAGGGAGAGCAGGAAGGTGGACACCGGGAAAGATCACTAGAAGAGAGAGGGGCTGTCGGGTGATGTTACTGGGACGATTTGAAGAGCGAGGGTGACTGAGAGTTATGGAGGGGGAGGGTGACGTAAGGTGAAGTGGGCAGATGGGTGGATGGAATGAGCAGGGGAAGCGTGCTCATGGCAGGAGGAGGCCTCAGCTCTAAGAACAGAAACTTCCTACATAAGCTACAACAAACAGCCAACACCACAAAAAGACACAAAAAAGTCTATGTGTGTGTGTCTGCAAGTATGTGTGCATATATAGATATTTCAAAAAAGGGACACAGAGGGACAAAAAGTACAGTATAGTTAACTAAAATGGATGAAAGAAGCAAGAGCAGTTGGGGAAATCACACCAAGTTCTAAACACTCTAATAAGACTGCTAATAATACAAAATATAGTAGAGTATTTACAATATTACTTAGCTGTTACATTTTATACTGTAAATTGTGAAATTTACTAGTTTGATGAATCCTTGGTGCGATTGGTTTTACCATGCATCATTACAGAAACAGGCCACAACAGGAATGCCAGTAGCACACAATATATGACCACAAGGGCATATATTGCAAAGTAAAGACCTGAGATTATGTACTTATAAGTTGACTGAGGTACAAACCTTTAGGGTTTGTACTTCATATTGACTTTTATTATATGACGTGGTAATTTAATTTGCTGATTTGTAATTGTAGTGATTTGTCAGGAAGCAAAGTGTTAGTTGACTTATTTCTCTACTCTGATAGATAGCTGTTAATGCTGGTTGCCACATGCAGTTTGAAATACCGAACATGCAGCATAAACTTTCACACACGCTCGCACACACAGACTGATCAAACACAGCACATACACGTACAGTTAACCACAAAGCAAGCACATGCTAAAGAAATAAAATTAAACATTGATCCAGAGATCTTTGTATCATGTGCACGGCAACAGCAATAACACCACAGACTAAAAACAGAGCCCGTCACTGTGATACAAAGATCTGTGAATCCTCCATACAGCAGGCAGACCCAGGCACACAGGTGAAACCAGATGCAGTTGCAGCAGTCGCAGTCGGAGACCACGCAGCCGAGCTGAAGTGCCAGGGCAGAGCACTCACTTTCCCAGGAAATCCCACACCATGCCCCCTATCTGCTGGGGAGCAGCGGACACAGAAGGGAGCGGGTCAGGGGGAGCTCTGCCACCGGGACGAGGGGTGGGGCGTGGGGCAGAGGAAGGGGGGCTGGTGTCAGGATGGGGCACAACAGAGAAAGAGTCGTGTGGGAGATGAAAAAGAGATTTTAAAAACAGAACCGGATTTGAGAAAAAAAAGGAGGTTCAAGGTTGAATCGAAAGTGATCAATGGCAGAAGGTGAAGAGAGGGACAGGTGGGCATGAAACGGAAGATAGAAAGAGGAACGGGACAGAAAAAAGTGGGTAAAGATGGTAAAAAAAGGACAAGAACACTCAATTAATCAAACACCACTAACAAATTATGAAATGGCCCCTATTACTAACTTGGAAGGAAGAATACAACTGGTTTTAACACTTAAGGGGTGGAACTGGGACTCTATAAGTGGCAGGGGAGAACAAACTGTGTGTGGTTCTCATGCAGTCCAACCAATCTTTGTCTTAGTCTCATCAGTTTAAATTCCTGTCCAGGTGAATGTTGTCCTGTCTCCTCCATCAGCCAAACCAAAGCCAAAAACAGCTTCCAGTGCAGAGACTCTGGACCATGTGCCGCACTGAGAGGTGAGCCAAGAGCTGATGAGGCCACCAGCTTTATTTATGTGGTTCATTAACTAAAATCAGTTTTACCTCCATTAACGGGGTGACTGAGTGTCACAACTTTACACACAACCTTCTGGTGTATCTCAACATGCAGCTGCAACTACTGTCCACTGAAAACTGTATTTCTGAGTGTATTATACATGACCTAGACTGGATCCAGTGCAGTACACTGTGCTGACACACACTCATTAATTCACACTTGTACAAAACAACAGGAAAATGACAGCACATGTATACAAATGCACACACTCATTTGAAAACACGGAGAACACAGTACAGGGCATGTTTAAGTTAACAGAGCACAAGTGGCTGTATTGTTGGGGACGATAACATTAAAGGGTGGGTTCACCCAAATTACAAAATAACATATTTTGGAAGGGAATGGGATTTTGTTTTTCACAGAAAAGCAGAAATTCAGAGACCAAATTTCAAAACATCAGTATTTTTACCCCTTAAAGAACATACCTTTTTGATGGCTTAATATATTAATTATATATGGACATGTAACAATAGGAAGAAGAGAATAAAAAGAATTGTAGAAACAAATACAAAACCATTTGTTTTTGTGTGTGGGCCTCTTTGCTGTATTTTGTTATATATTGTATGTTGATATGTATATTTTATATATTTGTATTATATACAAATCTAGTTTAAATGTACATGCCGTAAGTCAAATAATGTAATGTAATAATGTAACAATTTTGCTGAAATTGCATATAAATATACTAGTAACTATAATAATAGTGGACAATATTTCAGAAGTGCGAACAAGTCATTGCTTTGCACTCAAGTCCCAAGTCCTAAACATTGAGTTTTGAGTCCTAGACAAGTCAAAACACACTCGACACCGGCATTTTAACAACAGAAATTTGAAATTTTTATTTATTTGTTAAAAACAACTTGGTTAAAACAAATGTCACTCGACTTGATCATAAAAAAACTAGAGCCGACATTACACTTTGATAAATGGAACTAACCAGTACCACAACAGAATATGTAATAAGAATTTTCTATGTTTATATCCAATGAACTTATTTGTGTTAATCTTTGCTATTTTTGATTTTGTCGAGTCGAGTCCAAAGTCATTAAAAACACACCTCTGCAATATAGACTGCAAGACAAAAGGGACTAATTACATCAGAGAGAAGGTAGATATATTTGAATACTAGAGTATTTAATCTAACTAACTTTAAACTAACTTGTCCAGAGTTTTAGAGATAATTACCTTTCCAACTCAGCGATCTTCTTGTCCTTGTCATTCTTTTCAGTCTCCACCTCTCGCAGGATGTCCAGGAGTCTCTCCACCTCTGTCTGAGCCTTGTTGGCTTCGTCCTTGTAGTAGCTCACCTCCTTCTCCAGCAGCTTTACTCGGTCCACGTACTCCGGGTTCCCTCTGGAGCCGGACTGCTGCTCAACTTCATGGGCCTTCTGCAGCCACACGCCAGGGAAAGACACAAACAAACAAACATGCACACATGCACACGCCCAGAGACACACTCAGTTAACATTATAATGTCAAAACAACCATGCAGCTATGGCACAGAATGTTTTACTGCCAATGGAAGAGAGATACACACAGAACATTGCAGTCCGTCAGTGTCTTATTTTAACTAGTCCCCCTTTTCTCTCTCTCTCTCTTTCTTTCTGAATGAATAAAGCAGAGTAAAATGTTGTGGACAAGGGCATCATTACTGGTGCTGGCTCATTAGCTTCAACAGAGCTATTATTTAGCTCCATTTAACGGCCCTCTGAGACTCCCAGTCACTTCACACACTTGGTGAGTATGCAGAATACAGGACTGTGTATGTGTGTGTCTGTGTGTCTTGTGTTTGTAAAGCACTTTAACAAGCAAAAACAATAAGTACGTAACAAATCAGTGACAGTAAAATGCTAAGTCATGATTATGTCTCCTTGGTTTTCTGTCACAAACTAATCCGAGCTCAATATGGACTAATCTCGCCACTATTGCAACAGTTTGTAACTCTCCGTGAAGTACATTACAGTGGTACACATCACCCTCGAGACAATATGCAGCCACACATGTCAACACAGGTCGCAGAAATGCAAGAGTTGTACAGAGCCAGAGAGCATCCACCAAAACACTGCAGTGATCTCCAACCACGGCTGATACCTCAGCTAACTGCACCACACTGAGACAAAAGAGAAGCGTGGCAACACTGACAGCGACAACATGCAACAAGATCGACCATATCATGCAAACCCAACGAAGCTGCACAGTCTTTGTGATTGTCAGTCAAAAGAATGAAGAAAAAGAAGCAACAGGGACCGAGGAAATCTGTCGGCTAACAGTAAGTTTCATATTTTAAGCATGAGGAGTGATGTTAGGATTTAACGTGTAGTAGATTTTTTCATGATGATTCAAATTGTAAAATATACACAAAGTCATTTTAGTCAATGTGTAATCATTGGGAGGTTTATTGGAAATACTGTCAAAAGGAGCTTTATTGGATACACAAATTAGGCTCAATACAGCCTGAGCATTTAAATGTGTGTTTTGACAATGAGCATTGTGCTAAAGATGGGGGTTGTTGATGCATTTGAGGGTGGTAGAAACTCCACTTTATGATGGCTTTTGTATTTCTATTATTTAACCGTGCTGATTGCTTTCTGTATTGATTTATGATCTGTTCTTGTGATACAGTATATTGTATCTGTTCATGAAAGTGTCATAAGAAATTAATGACCTTAGCATAATTAAAGCTTAAACTGTTTTGCATTTCAGTGAGTTTGAGTAAGAAAATATCAAATGTTGGTATCTGCTTTGAAAAATCAATACCAGTACATCTTTCAAAACAATTTAAGGTTTGACATGGATATTCAGTGGGACCCTAAAATACAATAAAAATTGGTTTATAAAAGAAAAGAAAAAATCCTACATAATTTATCTGAAAAAGATGGAAAACATTCACTTTCAAAGTTTATTTGAGGTCTGTAGGTGTCAAAAGATATGAGGAGGTAACAACAGGCTATTAGAAATAGCACTGAGAGCTGCATTTCCCATGTGTACTTGCATGACAAAACACAGGAGTAAGCTCTGCGATAATCCTCCCAAAAACATCAGCCTTGTCCTTATAACATCCTTGCATTGGACATAAGTGTGCAGATCCTTGTGTGCAAGAATAAGAAAGTCTTACTGTAGTTAAGCAAACAAATCACAGAAAAACTAACTCAAGAGCCATAGTTAAAAAAGTTGCGAATAAATAGATATACTTTATAGCATATAGTTCCAACTGACCAAATAAAGTGAAATTAAAATACTGTATATGTAGCACCAGTTTCACCACGTGTGTCACAAACACAAACAGTTGCAGAATGAGTACGTTGCACAGGACTCGAGTGCAGCATAAAGCTCATTATATTCAGTTCAGTGCGATGACCAACATGCATCTAGGTGGGTCGGTGGGTGAAAGCAGAACCTGTGCTGGGGGCTGGCATGATCACCATCTAGCATGTTTCAAAGAAGTTATCAGTGTCCTCATGCTTTCAATATGTGTCTCAGAGAGCTCAGGAGAGGGACTTACAGGATTGTTCATGTGACTGAATAGCTGCTCAGCTTGCTACATTGCAAACGGAGGGGTTGAGGAAGGGAGTGGGGCGGGGGGGGGGGCGGCGGGGAGTGAACCCGGGAGAGTAAGTGTTAGGATTTAGTTTGAGCCAGAGGAGAGAACAGCAGGATCAGACATGTTACAATACATGTTTGACAGAGCAGTAACATAGTCTCAGTAAAGCGCATGTTGTTAAGGTTAAGGGCAACACATCATGGACAAATGCAGAGGAAGAGACACAGGGATAGTCTGTGGATTATGGAGTAGGAGGTGGTGGAGGGGGCTGTATTTAATAGACTGTCTGCTCCCTGCAGCGGCCTAACAAAGCAGTGCAGAAAGCATGATGGTAGCCATTATCCTTATTAACTGTGTTTTATATGAGGCAGGTTCACGTTCCAGGATTACAGTCATACTTACAGAAGTTTGCTTTTTTTCAAACAAGGAGTTAGTTTGATGAAGGATTACGGGTTTTCACATTCTTCATATATGAGCAGGGAAAACATACTAAACCAGTATTCAACCAAACTCTTTTAATTCTAAGAATAAAAGGAATAATTCACTATTTGTTAAGTCTATAACTATTTAATAGTCTCCATTCAAGTGGTCCCTGGACGCACAGTGAGCTAATTATTTTCTTCACAGTGGACACACAGCTCTGGCTTTCTATCTACAGTTCAGCTCAATTAAGGAGGGACATCTCTACAGTCTTCATTCAGGGCAGAGACACAGTTCAGTCAAAGTCGAAGCATTTATCATAAGGAATTCAAGTGTTGCACTACCGAAATAGGTTATTTTTATCCTGGACCTCCTGAAATTTTCATTTTGTTTCTTATCTGTTTAATTTATTTCTTCTGTCTTTTCTGCACGGAAGTAGTTATAAGGTATAAGGATAGGTGGGTACAGGTTTTTTTTATTATCTCAGAGATGTTGATACCAGTGCATTTATCAATCTTTAGTGCCAATGTTCTGTCTAACTGACAGATCTCTGATGTTGTTACAGAGCCACAAAGTCTGTGGGGGGCGGGAATGAACACAGTGTACAAACAAGAGTAGAAAAAGGTATGCATTAACTCAGGTGTGCAAAAGCTCCAATGTTTAACAACTATTTAATTTGGAACCGGTTATCGACTGGAACCAGTTCTCGATTTCCATTCCTAATATTTGTATAGTATTTGTTTTCATTTAACTGTGCTCAGCTTGCGTGCATGATACTAATGTTATTATAACATTGAATATTTACCCTCGGTAACGGACGCACTGCTTGGCTGGGAGCCAGTGGCACTCCTGCGTACAACATCAAATACATGGCATACCTGGAATTTAAGCCCATGTTGCGTAGAAAGCAATGTCAGCATATTGCTTGTGTAAAATTAACTTTGGACCATTTCTTCCTCTCCACCATTACTCCTTCTTGTTGCAAGTTTCCAGCAGTGTATACGCGTGAGTTTTACATCAATGTTTTGCAATGTCTGTCAGAAAAACATGCCGGCATTGATAAAAAAGAATTGATGATCTCGGAGGCAAATGATTCCGATGCACTGGACAATTCAAGTTGTCAATTGGAATCAGTTCTCGATTACCATCCATAAACATCTATTTGCTATGAAAGACTTGTGTGGTATCATGTTAGCTTTACTGAAGGGTTATTTTGCCCTGAATTAGGACTGTAGATTTTTCCCTCTTTAACTGCAACAAAACTGTTGATAGAGTGATAATGCTTTACCTCCAGTCGTGACAAAAAGGAAATGAAAAAGAAACACATGTGTAGAGTACGACATAACGGTTGTATAAAAACAAGGGACAGACTTAAAAAAAATCTACATAACTGATTTAGTTGAGTGCTGTAGGTACTTGAGCTGATTGTTATGTAATCTGTGAATTATTTCTTCCAAAACAGCTTGCTGTCACTAAAAAAAACAGTACATCTAAATACAAAATATACGTTCAAATTGAGTAATAACATGTTTCATCAAAATCAAATGTACACATTATCCTGTGCTGATATGAGAGATTCTGCACTGTGAGACACACACTCACCTTCTGCAACTGCGTCTCCAACTTACTACACTCCTCTTTTTTCTGCTCGATGGCAATCTCCAGTGACTTGAGCTTTGAATCCTTCTTGAGGCCAGAAGATGCCAGTGATGAGGCATGTTCCTTCAAATCGATGAGACTGGACTGCAGGTGGACAGACAGCACAGACCGTTAGCACAGATCAAACCAGGTCTAACTAGGCCACAATGCCAGAGGCAGCAGCTTTAAATTTCATACAAAGGCCGACAAAAAGAAAGAGGTACATTGTATGCTGTACAGTACAGCAGAGTAGAGAAACATAAAGGCAGAGCATGTGTAATAATTTGCAGTCATGTGGACACACCCCTACACCCTTACTCTCTCTTTCAAGCATACTCACTGACCTCTTTCTCTGTTAATTCTATCTGCAGGCTGTTGACTTTCTCCTTCAGATCTTTGTTCTCCTTCTTATAGGACTCCACTTCTTCCAGACGTTCTCTGTCTTCCCTCTCCCTTTGGTCCTTTAAACGCTCTATAATCCTCTCCTAACACACACACACACACACACACACACACACAAATAAAATTAATTAAATTAAAGAATTACAGGTAAGAATGGTCCAAAGAGCCTACTTAGGAGTCTTTTTGAGGGGGAGCAATAAGAAACTTTATCAAACAAACTTGTACTTACAATGTCAGGGCTTAACTTTGCGATGAGTTAAAGTGAAGGGATTATTACTTTTATTTTTCATCTTTCAATTCAAGACGAGAAGACTGATACCAGTCACGTCAGTATACTGTACATAAGTATGAACCTACCCCCAGCTTCTGGCTAACTTAGCTTAGCATACAACTAACCTGCCAGCTCCTCTGAAGCTCACTAACATGTTATATCTCGTTTTCTAATCTTTAGAAAAAACAAAGTAATATGTAAATGTGTTGTACTTTATGGGGTAAAACTTCCTGGAGTCTGTTGGTTGCCTGGCTGCTAGCTGTAGCTTCATATTTACTCTATACACATGACAGTGGTATCAGTCTTTTAATCATCTCATCTACCTTTTTGCAAAATAGTGCATATCCCCAATCACTGAACTTTTCCTTCCTGTCCAAAGGTTTTTTATTATTATTTAAATTATAGCAGTTTGATAAATACATGCCTTGAAATCAAACCTAATGCATGTCAGTGGGACACCCACTGTATGCTCTCATTAAATTAGCTCCCAAAGGAAAAAAATATTTAGCTGTGCAGCAGCTGTTTGCAACACTCATTGCATCCACCCTAATGCTTTAGTGCTGTACCACACCTTCTCTGACAGCGCCTCCTCCAGGGTGGCCAGGGCAGTGTCTGTGTTACTGGAGTCGGTCTGCAGAGACTTGACCCTGTCCTTCAGGTTCCCCAGCTGCTTGTCTTTGTCCCGCAGCTGCTCCTGCAGGTTCTCAATCTGACACAGGGAGGAGGAGGAGACCAGGAGGATGGTGGTGGCACACGGGAGGGGGAAAAAAGCAGAGAAACAGAGGTAAATAGCATGATCTCAAAGCAGAGCAATAATTAAAGTTGGTGTAGTAGCTGGACTTGGAGATTACAAGTCTTTGAAGATTAACACCTTCTACGACAACGTCAACAGTTTGTAATGTGCTGGGGATTTACAACGAAGCATTTTGCATTTCAGAAAGAAATACATCAAAAACTGCCAACTTTTAAAAAGAGTTTGAAAAGCAGAATAAGGAGTAGAATATATGGAATATAAATCAAGTGGTAAGCAAACAGGAAATGACTCAGACTCAGAGACAGTAAATTATGTGCACTGATCTAATATACTATATTATATGATTGACACAACAGCAAAAAACAGAGCTTTATTAATCACAAGAGATGACAAAGAGAGAGATAAAAGTGAACAGATGAGGAAGAGGAGGTGTGATAGAATAAGAGAGGAGAAAAAAAGTAAAGGGAATGGGTGAGCAGGGTGGGGTGAGAGAGGGAGTAACACTCTGTGAGTATTTATAGCACACACACACACACACTAGAGCCAGTGAGGCAGAAATATCTTCTTGCTTGTCTTTCTATGGACACTTTCCCCCGAGAGCAACAGAGACTCTCTCACTCTTAATGGAGAGAGTAACCACTCTGCTTTGTATTTTTACAGAGTGACTAGTTTAGTCCAGGACACAAGAATCTGACAAAACAACTCACGCCACTCATTGTTCGCTTCAAAATGTCAATTATATCTGCAGTTAACCTACATAGACTTCTCTGTCTACACACCATAGTTTGGTATTTGATAAATAACATCATGGACAACATTTTCACTAAATGGTCCACTGTAATGTTTTTGTTACTTGTCGGGGATGGGTGTAAATTAGCATTTTTGTTGACATCTTGTATTTTATATTGATATGCATTAATAAAGTGCTCTGTCCATATAAAATAAACAAATAAAATACATACATTTTCCTCATATATCCACCTTCCAACCTTTCATATGGTGAGGTTTTCTTCAACTCTGATTCTTACCTTCTTCTGCAGGACATTGATCTTCCTTTCTTTGACCTCTAGCATGTCTTTCATGTCCCTGATTTCTCCGGCGAGAGTGCCCTTCTCCTCCGTCAGGTCCTGCAGCTGCTTGGTTTTCTTGTTCAGGAAGGACTCTTTCTCCTCCAGACGCAGACGCAGAGCATCCACCTGTACGACATAGCCAAAAACACCTTGGAGGAAGTCCACATGTTGTAGTGAGGCTATTTAAAATAAAAGAGCATTATATGATGTGGACTTTGGTTATGGGCTTCTATTTGTCTTAACTTAATCTCCATGCAACTGTTTAAAAACGTGGGCGTTGAGCGAGTATTTATTAGTGTGGGGGTGATCTTCAGATTACAGTAACCGCAATGCTTCCACAGTTATTTATTTATGAGTGCAGCTTTTTTATGTTTTTAATCTTTATTAGATGTGCTGTGACAGTACACTGTGCACTACTGTTCCTTTGGTAGCTCCCTGAGTCACAGCTCAGTTAGTTTCAAATCCCAAAGTAAATAAAGTACTGATATGATTTGCAGTAATAAGCCTCAGACCCAGGGCAAGCCTATTATTTACTCAGTTTGGCTCGGAGTATAAAAATGTTTGTGAGGCAGTGTATTGTTAGGGTGATTTACTGTACGTGTACAAACAAATTAAGGATTTTTCATTACCTCTGTTTGCAGGATGGCAGCACGTTGCTCCTTGGCAGTGAGAGACTCTTTGAGCACCTCAATATGCTGTTTGCAGTCTGAGTTCTGGTTGTTGAGGGTCTCTAGTTTTGTCTGCAGAGCCAGCAGCTCCGACTCCTTTTTTGACAACTCCTGCTTCAGCTGGTCAATCTACAGATGTGTGAAACAAAGTGAAAGCAATTACATAAGCAATATGATGTTTTACCATCATAGCATGTGTGTGTGTTACAGACACAAAGAGTGAGAAACCTCTTTTTACTTACTTTAACAGTGAGCTAGTCAGTACAGTTTTGCACTATTTTCGTCAACGTGCTTTTCTCTCATTAAAAATGCATTTGGGATGACTCCCCTGCATTCATCATATATTATACATCATCTCTATTCATGATTGATGAAAAGAGGTCTAAAAATAGAATAACAAAACTGTGGCTGGTCTGCGCCTGGTCCACTAATATCAGGAGCAGCATGTAAACACAGAGTCAAACCTCCAGAGAGACATTTGAGCCCAAGAGAGCAGCAGACACATACACCTTGACACGATTTTCAGATTTCAGGCAGGTATGCTGGTGTCTTGACAGCGTAGCTCTAACTACTGACACAAAGCAGCCAAAAATACGATATACTGATAAGTAATCATATCATCATGGAGCGTGGGCTGACATTGTCTGGTCTGAAAACTAAAGCAGAATTAAAATAATAATATATCACTCTGACTTTGTGTGCAGGCAATTGTCTGTTGCCAGCAGAATAACAAAGTAATTTACTTTTATACATAATTAATACAAAATCAGCAAGCATGCACTTGCTGATTTTGCCTTTTTTGGTATTCCTGACACTGAGCTCTTCTCAAAAAACAGCAGAGAAGCATCTCTCAGATAGTTGCCAACAGGACACTTTGTTGATGACACTAAACGCTAAAGCAGCTAATTTAAGTGACACATCGCCTTCATTTAGTATTCTCCTCTCTGCTCAGGTCTGTCTCTACAGTGAACAACACCATCGCGTTTGTTTCTCAGCCATATTTTCACAGGATCTGTTTTTCTACAAGCGCATGAATTAGCGCAGACGGTATCTACCTTGGTCTTCATAAACTTAGAGTGGTTCTTGTAGACCTCCATTTGTTTGATCTCCTCCTCTCTGTCCTCTGTGTTCAGTAAGCCGTTTGCCTTCAGCATTTGGATCTCATCCTCCAGATCTCGAATGTTGCGCTCCAGAGAGGCAATTTTGGTGTCCTGCACACAAACATGCAGAGGAGACACACCTCAAAATCCTGACTGGCATGTCCATAAGTTGCTGCAAATAAAACTGAACTAGAGACAAGAGTCCAGGACAGACAGAAAGACTGACAACAACAAAAAAAAAGATACAGAGAGGCTAAAAGACAGAGATATAGCGAGATAAAGAAAGACTGGAAGAAGCTCTTTGGTGTGGCTGAGAGCAACTGCAGTATCTGTCGGTGAAATCAGAAGCTTTCTACCCAGCTCCTTGCAGCAGCTTGGAGGATTAATCACCATTAGGAAATATTGAGCACACATCCAACACGGAGGGATCAGCCGGGACCGAAGAGAAGCGTGCACAGGGAAAGGAAGAAAAGTAACAAGCCGTAGCTTTTGCCGTAGTCGCTTGCAGATCAATGCAGAACCCAGTCTCTGGACTGCGACTGTGAGTGCAGCTTTAGCTTCACGGCTTTTTAAATAAATAATACAACGTCTTTAAGATTAGCCATGGTCCATCTCCCTCTCCAGCAGAGCATAGAGCAACCTTGTTCCTTCCTGTCTTTCTCTCTTTTTGTGTCTCTCCTTCTTTCCTCCAAGTGGCTCTGAACTTGTGAACTTGTGGCCATTAGCAGGGTCAATCGTAGCCCACTGCAGAGAAACATGGGTAATGTATCGTAATGAGGAATGATAGACTGTCCAAGAAGGATCTGAGGGGTTAACATCAATGCATGAGTGCTGCATATGTACATGCACTTCGCCCTGCCGTTGCATCTCACCTCAGTCTCCGTGTTACGAGACGAACATCAATGAACTAACATCACTGCAATAGATACAAGACACCGTACCTTCAAAGGAGGGAGATTTTATTCCATCCACATGTAATCACTGGTACACCGACCTGGTCAGTAAATCCTGCTCTTTATCTGTCTTTCCCTGCCTGTGTGTGTCTCTCTTTCTATCTATCTCCCTGCATACTGGCCTCTCACTGTCATAAACAACCACACCTGTTTCCATGGTAGCAGCAGGCAGGCTATATACTGTGTACTGTCTCTGGTGAGTGAGGAGGAGAGGGCGGGAGAGATGTAAGGGAGAGAGGGAGGGAGGATTATTCGTGCTTCCATCAGCATCAGCACCAACACAGCACAGGGAGAGAGAAGAGGGGAGAGATGCAGGGTCTTCCGCCACAGCACAGGAGGAGGAGGAGGCGGGTCTTCCCTCGCTCTGTATGCAAATCAACAGGATCCCACAGCACAGATGTCACATGACCACGCCGGAGGGAGGCTGGGGCCTGCACAGCGCCGACCCAGCCGAGTGAGAGGGGCTGTGTCAGCTCAGCGATGATGTCATGATTTATTTTGAGGAAGTGATGTCAGGCCTCTGCAGTGAGGCTGGAGGTGTTGATCTGAACAGACACGTTTACCCTCGGTACAGAATATAAGCATGTTGCAACATTACAGCTGCATCAGTTTTAAAGAATGGAAAATGGATGTATGTAAAATGCATTAGCTTGGGCTGGAAGCTAAAAGCAGTCACACTCGGTGGTGGTGGGTGGGGTCTGTAAAACTATAATCCAAGTCTCTTCTTCTTGAATATTTTCTAATTTAATATGTTTGTCCCAATATTTAAATGTCCCTTAAATTTTCCCTGAAGCTTAAAAGTTGCATAAAACATCACATACATATTCTTTCTCTTCTCAGTCCAATGCTTCACTCAAGGTATTTCACTACTATTTTTTGAGCAAATTATTCAAATCTAAGATGCCATTTTAAGACCTGCGTGATGAGCTTACATAAAATAGAAAATTCAAAATATCTTGTGCATCATTTGATAAACATTTTGCTAACTTTGAATGAAAAAATCTCTTTAAACAATGCTCATCTGCACAAAATTGAGCTGAAATGATGGACCTGCAGTCTGTGACGTTTGTAGACCGTCTGTAATGTTAAAGAGTTGATAATTGAAATTAAACATGCCAATTTTTTGTCATGAAACAAGTGCTACTGCACCTCCCCAGCGAGCCACGATAGCTGAGATGTTGAACGGTAATATTGATTCTTGTTTATGTTTAAACAACTGCTTTGTGAGCAGATACACAGTTTGTCTGTATGTCTGTGTTGTAAGAGAGTGATGGAGAGATGTGTCAGTGTGTTTACTATTGACTCAGCTGCTGATGATCACAATGACAACAATAGTCACTAAAAGACAAACCACCGTAGGCCTGTGCAGTGGTTAACATAACACAATGCCTGCAAATGTTAGCAACTCAAACACATATAAATACAATTTATGTCTTTTAATATTTGGTTTTAGACAGATGGTCCTTGAATAGCTCGTTTCTTTCTATACAGTCATAGTTAGAGGAAGCTTCATAGTAGCTGTAGCCTAGCATAGTAGCATAGCAGCTGGATAAAAAACGTACATATTAATTGCTCCATTATATGTTATTTTGAACAATGATTATTTGAAGAATTCTTTCATCTGCTGCATGTGGTTATGGTCAGGCTGTATGTTGTGAGTTTCTTACTTTCATCTCTATGATGGTCTGCAGGGCTTTGGTTTTGCTTGGATCCTGATGCAGCTGATTTCTTCTGTGCAGTTCCTTTCAGAAAAGATACAGTATTATGTGGCACCAGTACAGCAGAATTTATTGACTACTGAAAACAGGATAATTTTGACCCCACCAAAAAAATGCATATAAAGTTGATGTGTTCTGCAGTTTTCAGTCAATATGCTACAATATAAGCAGCAGAATAGAGCATATTGATTATATGATTCAGCACTGCCCTCTAGTGGCAGTAATAAACAGTCAATTTTAAGTCTTGTACAGTGGATCCCACATTTTAATATCAACATAACCCTGGTCAGAGAGTACCTCTCGCAGATGGATGTTTTCCTTCTCCTTTTGATCCAGAATGACCTCCAGGTGTCCGAGCTGGGCCTCTGCCTCAGCAATGCGCCTGGCTCTCTCCTGCTCCTCCTCCTCAGATGCCCTGCCCGGCCCCGGGGGCAGCCCTTTGCTCTGCAGCATCTCCAGCAGCTTCTTAATGGACTCATCTCTGGCACCCAGTGTCTGTTTCTGGGTCTCGATTCTCAACTCCATCTCCTCCAGAGTCTTTCTCAGCAAGAAGAGCTCCTTGGCTTGTCTGTCATGTTCGGCCTGCAGCCGACGGAAGTTCTCCTCTGTCAGCTCGATGGTGGTGAAGTGCTCAGAGGCGGAGCGGTTGCCGCTCTCCTGCTGCAGCAGGTGGTTCAGATCTCGTTGTGTGCGCAGCTCGTCCTGCAGAGCTTGGATGGTCATCTGGAGATGCTGACGCAGTTCAAACACATGCACACAAACACACAATGTTTGAAATTAATTTTAGGAATGAATGCAATGCAAAGTGTTTCATGATAACACTACACGAGGGTAACGACATTTAAACACACTTCTGAGTTGCACACGGTTCTGTGGAAAAACGCAGGTCAGACATAGGGGACATCACTTACCTATCTTTAGAAGCAAATAGACTGTAGACTGATATTGTCAATCAAATCTGAGTCATTTGAAATCACAGTTAGTCTTTAATATATTAAGGCTTAAATAAAACACAGCTTTCACTTATTAGTGTGCTGCGAAAGTTGCTCTGTTTTTATTTGTTGTGAGCAGAATTAATGAGGTTCGTTACCTTGCAAATTAGAGCAGAAGACCACCTAAATGGTTCCCTGCAGTGCTACAGAGGTCTCTGCTCTCTGATACCGGACACAAAAACTGTGTTTCAAACCTCTGAGGAAGCTTTTGGTTATAATGCTAAATAAAGGCTTGCTTGTCAGTGAATTGTCTGTAAAATGTCCAGAATAAAATACAATGAAAAACACACTATTAAGAAGCCTAATATATCTTATTGTAAGTAGGAGTGTTGGTTCTGGGTTTAGGGGAACAATGTTAGGGCCAAGTTTCTGTCACAGATTGACTAAGGGTTGGTCTTGCCTGTTGAAATTTTCTTCCAGCAGATATCTCCAGAGCAAAATCAATCTATGTCCAGAAAATGGCCCAATCAGGATTTAGAGGACAGGAAACATAGTCTTACACTAAAACAGGTGGTCTGGGGTTGTAGGGTTTGTGATACTATGAGGGGGACGGAGCACCAGACACATTTGGATTGACACAATTGAATAAATAAATCACTCTTTATAGTTTTACGGTGTTTATAGGGGAACATATAAGGGTTCACAGGAAAAGGAGGCAGGCTGAACTAACTGCTGGAAATAATTCACTTTCTTTTGGAGGTTCATAGGAGAGGAGGTTGTAATGGTGCAAAGGGATTGCCAGGTGTCTGAAAATACACAGCACACTGCAGGTGACTCTATGTTGTGCACACAACATGTGTTGCAAACATAGGGACAAACCTTGGTTCTCCTGGCATCCAGCAGCTGCAGAGCATGGGCAGAATGAACAGAAAAAACAAATGTATGGTAAAACGTCAGAGCATGATGCAACAGAGACGGATGATCGACACAAACCAGCCAGAGATTTAAATGAGAGCGACTCATCAGTCTGTCCAGCTGTATGTTTATCAGCCTTCGGTCAGAACATCATACTCACGGTATACCTACAGACAAAATGTGACTTTCTGAGATTACCTTTCTGGAAAGAAGATAAGGTTTAAAACTGCTTTAGTTTGAATCAACCACCAGTTATTGGTTATTATTATTAGTAGCAGCATTGATAAGAATGGTCATAAACAACATCCACATTACACAGTAACAAATATTCACAGTGCTAGTACAATAGTTGTAGTGTAGAGGTGGGGCCAAGTCATTGTTTTGCAAGTCCCAAGTTCTACTTTGAGTTTCATGTCCTGAAGTCAAAATGCACTCATCACCAAATGTAATACCATTTTAACAAAAGAACAGACAAAATTAAATTTTATTGGGTAGTAACATTAGTTTTTGGTTCTCTCCTGCAACTTGACTGGATGCTAAAAAGTGTGTCCGGGGAAATAATAATAATAATAATTAATTGATTTGCAGGGAATGGATGGTGTTAACATTAATTGATTTAGGAAAAGAATTCCTGAATATATTCATGGCACACTTTTTAAATAACATACTTTTTAATCTTTGAGCTTGGGGCAAGGTATCAAGTATTATTAAGTCAAAAAACTCCAAGTCAAAGTGAAGTCACAAGTAATTTTCTTGTCTAAAGTCAAGTCTAAAGTCATCAAATTTGTGACTTGAGTCACATGACTTGGAGTCCACACCTCTGATTAATAACACCAGTAACATTAGTAGTAGTGTAGTAATCAGACAGCTATGAGATGAGGTATTAGTGTTACTGCATTTTAAATCATTTTTTGTGCAGCTAAAACATAAATTAATCAGCAACTATTTTGAACTGATTCATAATTTAATTATTTTTAAAGCAAAAATACTAAACAAATGCTAAACAAATGCATTCTTTGGTTCCTTGTTGGCTCACTTTCTCAGTACAGAACTGACAGGATGCTGTGAGCAAGTGAAGCATGTGCTATTTCAACCACCAGGGGGCAGTGTTTGTGTTAGCAGAAGGAGGTGATGAATTTTGTGCTGACTGCAGGACTGCTGCCATCTTCAACAGTTTTGGTCACACTCCCTTATGTGAGTCAGTGCCATTTGGTCTGGCAACAAAACCACATAATACATCTCAAATTCTCAATTTCACAGTCAGTGTAGTCCAGTCATTTACATGCACATGCTGACAATCCTACTGTCACTACATTCACAGTAAAGACATCTACAAACCTGTCCAAACCTTAAAACTAGATATTCTTTACTGACAAGCAAATAATAATTAATAAATAATAATTTGCTTCTATATATAGACAATATTTACAATACCTCTTCTTAACTATAAATAAATACAGGTTATCAGACTTAATCAAAATGAGAAATTAATGGTTGCCTTTACGAGTCCCTGCAAATATTGGCCTGCTGCTACCCTGCTTGTACTAAATCCATTTAATATGACACAAAGCAATATTCAAACCATTAAACCGAAATCTTTTTCTCTCTCCTCATATCTTCTCTCTCTAATCTCACCTGAAACTGCTCTCTCTCTCTCCCTTCCTGATCAGTACTCCCTCTCTGCCCTGATCAATAACCTGATGTCTTGGAACTAAACTGCAGGAGGCAGTCCAATGATTTCATTTGCATAATTGCACTGTGGGTTAAGATGACTATATGTGTCCCCCCCCCCCCAAAAAAAACAAAAAACAAAAAACATCTACAGCAGAACTGTACCAGTTCCTGTGAGTCAGTCATGACTCAGCGGATATTACCGTAGTGGTCACCCTGCCTCAAGAAAAGGCTTCTCTATCGCTGCATATCCTTAAAATGAGCTTCAGGAGTTAAGGAGAGATGTTGAGCTACAGTGCTCCGGCCTCTAACTGACACCTGGGGCAGCCAGGGGTAACTGCCTGTCATAAAACCTTTTGTGCAGAAACACAAAATCCTTCGCAGAGCTACAATAGACAAGGAGTCAGATTCTGTCATTTCCCTCCCCAAAATCTCAAAATGCCAAAAGCTATTTATGCTTACATGCAGGTTAATTACACATACAGGAGTGTACTGTAGATCTTTTCACAATGTTTGTTTAGTCACATTGGTAAATCTGTAAACTAACAAGACCAACAGTCTACACGCATGCCAGTGGCTCTTTGAGGCTGTACGTTGGCACAGCAGTGCTTTCAGCATGCTAATGTCTACCAGGTATGTTTTTAATGTTCACAATGTTAGACTAAACTAAACACAAAGTACAGATGAGGAAAATGGGACTGTCATTGGTGTTGCAGGTATTTGGTCATTTGGTCAACCAAAGAACTGGACAAAAGATTTGACCCTATCATGGCGCTTAGACGGGCGATGGCCTAAAAATAAAATAACGATTTTTTAGGAAGTTTTACTTCCTAAAACAAACTGCAGAAGACATCTTATTCATGGCAATGTGAAACACCACTGCTCTGTAATGTCACTTGGGTCCCTTCTTCTCATATGGGAAATTATGGGGAAATGATTCTGCACGTTCTGCGTAGATGAGGGGATTGGGGCTTGTTTCAGTTGAGTCCTTAGCAGCTGTATATCTCCACATGATGACATTTATAGTTTAAATCTTGATTTTTTGATTCAGCCCTTTTGTTTTTTGCAACATTTTAAAACCTAAAGTCAAATTAATCAATGTATCACTGAGCTCTAAATGGCACTAGATGAAATGTCAGGGGATCATCAAAGTTATTGCATTTCATCCAATGGGAGGCATGAGTGTCAAATTTCATGATAATCCAGCCAGGAGTTGAGACATTTGTCTTAAAACCACAAATATCAACCACATGATGGAGTTATAGGAATTATCAAGAGATCACCAAAGTCAGGATGCATTTTCTTATGACCATGAATGTCTTTACTAAATTGTGTGGCAAGGAGGAGATGTGATGTGGGCATACTGTACTGTATTTCACAGAATAATCACCAAAGTCACTGGGACTCATCCTCTGTGAACTATGAATGTCCCCGAGGATAGCATTGCTTTCATTGCAATCCATCTCATAGTTGTTAAGATTTTCCACTAAAAGCCAAAAATGGTGGTGCTAGAGGGAAAGTCAGGATCCCCAGAGTCCAGAGACCATTAATAAACAGACTGAGATATTCCAGTCTGGTTCAAAGTGGTGGACAAACCAACCAACCGACTTTCCTTAAACCAATTTTAGTATCATGGCTAAATAGGTGTTGTCCAGTCAGATACATAAACTGTTTATTAATTTGAAGCAACTCTGTGCATAGATTGATAGTCAAAGCTGGCAACATTCATTTATTTTACCAGGTGGCACAGGCACCTATAGAGCAGCTATATGTGTGGTATGCTGTATGTGTGTTAAGAGAGAGTGGGTGTTTGTATCTGACAGATGGACAGCTCTAAAGCACTGAGTCAGAGCAGCCTACTGCTTACTACACTCTTAATCTCTGTGTTGTATGTTGTAATGGCTGACAATATACAATTACACCCACAGCGATGGCAGCAAACGTGGCATTTATTCATCTCCGCTCAGCTAAAAGAAAGGTAGAGAGAGGAATGGATCCAGAAACCTGAGTGTTGGGACAGCACACAGGAGTTTAGTAACACTGAATTCTGAATATTTTTTTTACAGTAGTTATGAGTGTTCCTCTAGTGTGCAAAAGGTCATTTAATATCTTTTATCTATATTGCTGTTTATTGTCTGGCGGGTATAATATGTGCCTGTGCGGATATTAAGAGTTCTCCTCACATAACAGAGCAGCTGACCCTAATTCTTGATC